GGGGGGGGCATGCATGTCCGCGTGTTTTTTTCAGGTCAGCGAATGCCGGCATAGGACCAAGAAAACGTGCACGGAAGGTGTACTCTACCCTGCGGGTGTATATGATATGTCGTCTACGCTTCTGGCACGCAGGCCTTCTTGTCTAGAGACATGAATATCTCTTCTTTTCCGTCCTGATGGCATACGCATCGACGAGCAACGAATCGTTCTCAGAAATGGCAGAAATAACGCGTCACGCATACCCCCCACCGATACGCCGCGCCAATGTTAACAACACGCTTACACTGCTTTGCTGCTGTGTGCAGATTGCCGCGAACCACGGGTTGGAACTCGTGCGCAAGCGGGGCGGCCAAGTCCTCTACGGCGTCGCACCCCCGGCCTCGAACGCTCCCCCTTCACCGCACGACAGCATCTTGTTTCCCCACTCCCCCCGGAGCCCCGCCCCCGCTGCAGCAGCAGCAGCAGCTGCTGCTGCTGCTGCGCCGCCTTCCCCGGCAGTGTCAGGGGGAGGGGCTTCCGTGCCCAGAACTCCGCCACCGCGGCCGCTGTCGCCGGAGGCGAGCGGCAGCAGCGCTACAAGTAGTGGCGCCCCCGCCGAGGCGGAGGAGACAGGAACGGGGTCCCCGGAGAATGAAGTCGAGGGCGCGGCGGAAAGGGGGACCGCGGATAGCTCGGCGGCGGCGGGGGGGGGCTCCGCGTCGAAGGGGGCGGCGACGGGCAAATTGTGGGGCGGGGCGGTCGGGGGGGCGACGGAGCTAAGGGGCTGGTGGGGCGCCGGCGGCGCCGGGTGGGGTGCATGGAGCCACGTGGACATGCAGCTGGTGGTAGGGCAGGCCTCCAAGCACCGGGTAAGGGCATGTGCCACCAGTGTTTTTGAGAGAGTTGAGACGAAACGCGTACGGTAGTCCCCACACCGGTGCCTTCCATTAGGCTCCCCCCCCCCCCGAAAAAAACTTAGCCCCCAGTGAAACTAAGACCAAAAATCCCCCCGCCTATGAGGTTCGGGGGTGGAATAGTCGAGATAGGGTTGCCTCTTGTGGCATGGAGCTATAAAACTGCTGTGAGTAAAGAGTATGGAGGTTGTTCATGCGGTACCGTATATTCTGTGAGCTTCACACCCTATTGGATATCCGCTGAACACTGGATAGTTGGAACGTCCTAGAGCAAAAAACACTTATGGACTACTCTATCTGGAATTTTCCCACCTGGGCTACATAACAGCAGATTGTACTCTTCAGTGTATCACACACGAAGCCAAGTATTCGCTGTGTGTCCTCCTTTGAGGTATGCACGAGCGCGCGAATATCGATGCCCCATTGAGGTACCTGAACCCTAGTCGTGCTTGCCGAATGTGCAATGTTTGGTTAGCCGGGATGCCCTATCAACCCATAGCGTGCCTGGTTTGGCACAGCAAACGCAAGGATAATGACCAGAGCTTTCACGCTGGTAAAACGTAGCCTGGGCCGGCGAAAACCCGGCATATCGCTCCGTCTGTAGGGATGCGAGGTCTATCGTCCTACACGGCTTCGGCATGCATTTACAGGAGAACACCTCTCTCACCCCCCCCAAACCAAACGTGGTCAAAATGGTCTATTACTAACAGCTATTTAAAGGCATGCAAACGATGAGTACGCCCCCCCCCCCGACGAAACCAAACTGGTTTTGACGACATTTTTTTTACCCGAACCATGCACATAAAACCGTGTACCTCACTCGATTCGTCACGTCGGTCGCGTCGACAAAAACCCAAACTGCTTTTTGACGACTTTTTGTTTTTTTTACCCGAACTATTACAACAAATATCCAGGTACTCCTTATTCGATTCGTCCAAAAAAAACAGTAACTGTTTTTTTGTCGACATTTTTTTTAACCCGAACTATCTACACGACAACCAGGTGCTCCTTGTTCGATTCGTCACCTCGAGAACGGCCACCTCCCGAGAGGTCTTCCGCCTGGCGGCCGCCGCCGCGGAGAACGGCGAGCCCCTGGCCATCGCGCCGGCGGCCAAGGGGTTCGTGTCGAGCGTGCAGCGCGCGCTTCGGGACAGGGGCGCCCTGCTGGAGTCGCTGGAGGAGTTGCCGGTGCAGAAGACAAAGGTCGAGATCGACGCCCAGTTTTTGAGTCAGGTGTGTGATGCGCGCGCGATTCATTTTTGTATTTGTCTGGGTTTATATGGCCTGCGTGCGTCGTGTTATTGGGGAGGGACTGCAGCCTGGGTGCCTGGGTGGGGGGGTGTGTTCCTAGTGCTGTTTAACTCGAAGGTACTGCTGTTGGTTTTGTCGTTATTCATGGGGCTTGGTGGCTCGTTCGCTGGCAAGCTCTCTCTTTCTGTCTCGTCCTCCCTCTCTCTTTTCTCTTCTCTCTTGTTTTTGAGTTTTTTTGTCGCCTTCATGTACAACGCATACACCAGAACAACCGACCAGCCGGATCGCCCGAGAGAGCCATTAATAATCGCGGGCTGAAACGGAAGGGCACAAATATCAAACATCTCCTGAGTCTCATCATGACGTCCTATCACATGGTTTAACAGCAGTGCCGAATAGTCATGGTAACGGTATCACATCATCATACGGCTATATACCTCCAAGTACCACGAACCCAGGCACTACCTAACCACCAGCTTGCGCTCTCTCTGTCGCGTCTTCGCATACGACGGCTCCTTGATTTTTTCGTCATCCTCCTTTCTGAGTTCGCGCTCGCTCGGCTGCCCGCTGCTTTTTGTGCCGCCGCCTGCCCTACCCACCCGACACCCGGTCACGCGGACAAACCGGCGACGATGACGACGACGATAACGACGGCCATGAAAAAGGTGGAGGGTATGTGCCAGTTCGACATGGTGGCGAGCTTGAGGGAGGCAGGGGTTTCTTTGGACGAGCACGCCAGGGTGAGTGAGTGTGAGGCAGTGAGGCAGTGAGGCAGTGAGGGGTGAGCCGCCACCGAAGGGGGCACGCGGGCCAATGAACACACGTAAAAGTAGTGTTGACACACACGACTGGAACGACTGTGTTGATTGGTCAGCAGTCGGTTAGAGTCAGCGAATTAAACGCACACGAGGGATATGCTGCTATTTCCGCGTGTTTTGCTAGAGTGATATGTACGGGGTGATGGCATAACTTTTTTTTTAACAGCATGGCCACTCTCTTACCCCCGCGTTTAAGCACGGTGTTGGTATGCATACAGCAGTAGTGCTTCTGACCTCCTACCGATAGCGGCAGTGCATAGGGGAGTTCAACAGAGAGAGGCCTTAGACTCGACTAAGACCACTGCTGCTGTAGTACAACATCAACATGGCGGTGTCCTTCATCATGTTTTCTTATTAATAGCAGACCTCCCCCCGTTGGCATGCACCCGCGTCTTACCTCCCACTCAATAGTTTAATACCGAAGTACATGACAATGCTGCGTCGAAAAACGAACGATAATGATCTAAGTAATGAGAATAAACCCCGGTGCATTTCGGCGCCACGGCAGAACGAGGAGCTCCGGGGCGTGGTGGTGACGCGGCTGCTGGAGGAGATGTTCAACCTGGTCGGGCTCCCGATGCTGCCGCCGCCGCCCCAGCTCGTGCTCGCAATGCCGCGCCCGAACGACATCCTGCCCTCGAGGTGTGTTGGTTTGTTTTGGTTGTGTTTTTACTCTCTCCGCGGAGGACAATGTTGGGGTTAATCTTTGCTTCTTGCTCTTTCGTGTCGTCGTAACCCCGCCCCTGCCGTGCGCTGCACCGTACATGAGTTTTTGGCGGGGGATTTGGTAGGGATAGCCCATCCGCGGTTCATCCTTTGTCCCGCCCCCGTCCCGTCCTTGTCCCGCCCCGTCCCATTTCCCGCCCTTGTCCCGTCCGGTTTCCGTCCCGTCCCATTCATGCCCCTTCCCGTCATGTCCTCGTCCCGTCCCATCCCGCTCCCGCGCGTCCCGTCCCGTTCCGTCCGTATGCCGTATATGTAGCGTGGATCCCATGCCGGATTTGTGCGAGGAGGATAGAGGGGAGCTGTCGTCCCACCGCTTCTGCTCCGAGGCGAGCCGGGTCATGGCCAACGTGCTTGCCCGGTGCATCCGGTACACGGAGAAGTGCGACGAGCAGATGACGGCCCGCATGCAACGGAAAAACCGGCAGGTGAATGGAAGGGGAAAAAGATGGGACCCCTTTTTTTGAGCGGGGTCCACTCGTTTAAGGATGTACCAAGGCTTTGGCGGGGAGATCGGGGAGGAAGATTGCAGTTCTGCTCGCTTGGGTGCGGAGGGGGGGAGGGGGGGGTACATGTGAGTTTTTTCTCTCTGAATAAATGCTGGTCTAAGTTGGAAGCGACGCGCTGCAAAGCTCGTTGTTAGTAAACTGATCGACTTCATTGTTGACATCGACTTAACCGCCGGGAGGGAAGGGATTGCTGTACCCTTCTCGCGAGAAAAACTATCTCAGGCAGGCACCGCAGGAGGTAGATGGGGACAAAAGAAGATAAAAAAAAGAAGAAACCCCCGGCGTGGGTACCCCCTCCTGTGTGACCCCGGACGGTGCGTCTAGCTAGTTTGTAGTGTAAGTGCACATACGCGGCAAAACGTGAAGTGTGCACCGAAGAGGAGTAAGCAGGCGGCGCCAGAGATGGGACGAAAAAATAAAAAATAAAAATAAAATGTACTATACCTTTTTGTCCTATGCGATGTGGTTACTTTTTTGGGAGACCGTCGCTTGCCTAGGCCGCGTACCTTTTGCTCAGAGACTCGTCGACTGAAAAGCCGGATGAAACAATGGTGCACTGCTGTTTGTGTTTTCTCTCGCATTGATTCACATTGAAGCCATACGTGTCTGCTGTGCACCATGCCCGTGCACTTCGCCCCCCCCCGCCCCTCGGCTCTTTTTCTGACTTGTTACCTTGGTTGTGTCCATGTCCGTTGGTCTCCTTGCAATGTTTGTCCAGGTTATGCAACGAATATCGCGCTCCCAGCTCTATCAACGAGAGCTGTTCCAAGCTCTTCGCGACGGACACATGGCGGTCAGTTTAGTACTATTTTTTTTGTTGCATGTTTTGTGTGCTTCGAGATTGTCGCATGCTGCAATTGCGTTGAGGTTTCTGCCTCTTGGACTCTCGGTGGAATTTCGTTCGGCCTGTTAGCGCGGTCGATGCTAGATATGATAGGAAAACACGCACGAAAACCACCGTTGTGCGCCCCCTCTCTAGTAGTTCGCTTCTTTTTGTCTTGTCCTGCCCTTTTCACGAAACGAACGGCATGCATGCTCTCTCTCTCTCTCTCTCTCTCTCTCTCTCTCTCTTTTTCACTCTCTCTTTGCACGCGGTGTTGCACGCCACAGCAACACCGACACCAACGACGCCCAACACCAACAATTACCGACACCATGATCAACACCAACAACACCAACACCAATACCACCCGCGACACGCCCACCGTTGTTGGTTGTTGGTCTCGACGGCACAGGTCCGTCGATCGAGGATGACGGCGGCGTTCAGCAGGGTCATGCAGAGCCGACCCGAGGCTGGGATCGACCCCAACGTCGAGGCCCCCGTGTACTTCTGCTCGATCATCTGCAACCGCCGGCCGGGGTACCTGTACCTCACGTGAGTCACAAGACGTCGTGGACGACGAAAAAGAAGATAAAGCAGGACGGGCGCAGAAAGAGTGTGCAGATAGGCGTCGGGGGATCGGTGGGGCAGAAAGAAGTTCAGAAAGGCGTCGGGGGGTTTGGTGAGGCGGTCGGGGGAAGCGAAGAGAAGAGAGGGAGCGTCGCGCGTGGCGTTGTAGCCTCTCTCTTCTTTGCGCGCTTTCTCGGGAAGACGGGGGTTATCGCGCCAACTCTTTGCGTTCAGGGTGCGGGGGGTGCGAGGTTGGGGGGGGGGGTTGTGTTTTTCTGTGTTTGGATGTCGCTTCGTTCCGTCGCTGGTACGTGCATGTGTCGCTTCCTTGTCTGGTGTAAAGTGGTGTACCAATAGTCTCTGTCCTGCTCGTGTCTTGTCTGTTGTGTTGTGTTGTCTGTGCATGCTTGGGCTCGTTGTTTTGTAAACTTGTTGGGTTGTGGTGAACCGCGCGAGCCGTCTTGTTGGTCGTGGTGCTGCTGTTGACAAGTTGTTCCCACTTGGTCTACGGACACGGGACCCCCCCAAACCAACCCCAAACATCCAATCTGGGATCCCCCTTACAACTGGTGGCGACCTCCTTCCTGCCGCCCTTCCTGCCGCCCACAGCGCTGCATCGGATCTCAAACAAACGGCCGTATTTGACGGGCGGTGTCTTTGCTTCCTTTTCACCCGCGGCCGTTAGTTTCGCTCCTTCCATGTGGCGCCGCGGCGATGGTGTCAATGACGTCAATGAAATTTTACGATTGGTTGCGCTGGTCGTGTCTTTTTTTTTTTTTGTCATTCCAGGTATTGGCACGTGTGCGTGGTAACGAAAGTGCCTGGTTTTGCTTCGACGGTAACGGTGATGAACCTCGAGGACATCGACGCGGTCGAGATCGTTAAGCTCTTTGTGGGATATGGGATTCAGGTAAGCGAGAGAGAGAGAGGGGGGGGGGGGGGGTAGGGAGGAGAGTGAGAGAGACAGACAAACCTACGAGGGAGGCAGAGAGAGAGAGAAAGGGAGAGAGAAAGGGACGGAGGGAGAGTGGAAGAGATAGACAAACCAACAGGAAGGCAGACAGAAAGAAAGAGACAAACCAACAGGGAGGCAGACTGGAAGAAGGAGGGAAGGGGAAGGCGGCGAGGAAGAAAAAGAGGGGTAAGTGGGAAATGCAGCACAGAGATGAAGAGGGCGGCGGCAGGCCGAGGCAAAAGAACCAAGCGAGTGGGACGGATGGGCGGGCTATCTCGCTCGTGTGTTGTCCTGGTTTCACCTGCTGTCGTGTTCGTCTCTAACCCCTGCCACAAACACGTTGTTGCTCCCCCTCCCACATCGATCGACCCACGCCAACAGGTCAGAAAAGGCCTCCGGGGGGCAGCGGCGGCGGCGGGAGAAGAACCGACCGTGTCCCCGTTCCCCCCATCACCGGCGTCCTCCGCCTCTCAACCCCCCCCGCCCCGCCGCTCTAACGGCCAGACGGACGCCGCGGCAGCGGCAGCGGCGGTTGCGGCGGCAAAGAGAGTCCGGCCGGCGACCATGACCTTCGCCACGGCCAAAGTAGCGACGGCCGAGCTCCGCGAGCTTATCGTAGCGCTGGTCCGGGTGCACCGAGAGCCGGTGACGTCGCCGTCGGCGGCGGAGAGGGCGGCGGCGACGAGAGCGGTGGCGTCGTCGTCGTCGTCGTCGGCGGCGGCGGCGGCGGCGGCGGCGGCGGCGGCGGCGGCATCGGCGTCGACGCCTGGCTTGTGACGAGACGGTCCCTTTGTTTTCTCGTAGGAGCAGGAGCAGGAGGAGGAGGAGGAGGAGGAGGGGGATTGGCAAGGGGCGTGTGCGGAGGGGGATTTCGCTACGCTCTTAGCTCGTGGAGGTGTGTGTGTGTGTTGGAGAGAAGGGGTGCCTGTCATTTTGTGTGAAGCGGGAACGGGCGCCAAGAACGACTGACCCCTGGGGGCAGGAGGCGGTGGGATAGGCTTCGCGTCGCGCGACGCGAGACATCCGAAGCGAAACAAGGCGATGCGGTGGAGTTTTTGGTTCTCCGGGTTTTCCCGCGCGCGCGCGATAACGAGAGGCGGAGTTAGGCGAGATGACGGGGGGGGGGTTGGCCTTGTCGGGGAGCTGTTTCTTTTTTTGACCGCGCCCCCGTCCTTCCCCTTGGCCCCTGTGGTGTGGTAGTGAGGTCGCGATGGGGGGCGTGGTACAGCAGTAGGTGTTGCTGTTCGTGTGAGAGGAGGGTGAGCAGTGGAGCGTCCAAAGACAAGACACGGACGGTGGTGTCGTGTTTTGTTGGGGCTCGTCTCGATGTATGCTGCTATGGACGTACCGAAAGAGGGCGAGAGCGATTGCGAAGGGGGTGGAAGGCCCATCGGTTCACTGCCGGCGGTAGGGTTCGACCGCATGGTCGTGAACCAATCGATGGGTTACCAAACGTACGGGGGTTGTGGCTGGGGAGAGAGCAGCAACCACCGACCCCCCCCCCCTTGTGTTTGTTGTCCTAAGAACGCCTTGACCATGACCACTACGGAAGAAGGTGAACATGGTACCACTTCGAGTGAGAGTTGTTATGCCGGTCTTCCGCTGGGGCGTGATGCCGCTGCGGGTTTCGAAGCAGATTCGAAAACTGCGTTTTTATGGTTTTTATTTTTCGCTCGCAAGAAAGGGGGTCGGTCGTGTCCTACTAGTGGCTGAACGGGAACTTGAAACACGTTTAAAAATATATGTATTGCTTTTTGTTCCTTGTGTTTGGCGAACACTCGTACACGGCGGGATGATGTAGAAACGCGAGCCTGCTTCAGCCGTTCCGGGAGTTGCTTGGGCTTGGAAGGCGGCCTTCCTTTCGTGCCGGCACCGGCGGTTGGTCTGATTTCACATGCGCAGCAGACCTTTTGTACAACAAATGTGATGAATACTGGTAGTGTTTTATATTCTCTTGTTGCGTTGCTGCGCGCGGGGGAGAGGGAGAGAAGAGTTAATAAGGAACTCTTTGCACGTATTTTCCCGAGTTTTTGTTCATTCTGAAGAAAAAACGCAGCCAGCAGGGGGGCTTTTGTGTGCGACAGCCGTCCATTTCTTTTTTGAGGAGGTCGGTGGGCGTCGCCTAATCCTGATAAAGTACGTATCTAACCGTTTGTAAACAGGCTGGATCTGGTGCTGGTTTATGTTTTTGTTGTTGTGTTTAGCCGAAGGACGGACGTATGTGCAAGGCAAGGGAGGCACACCACACCTGCTTGTCCTGGTCGCGTAGTTAATGGTCGACCTAAGAGCAGCACGCATGCATGCGTGTGAGAGAGCCGTCATGATGTTGTTTTTTGCGACATACGCATACCAGATGCTGTGTCGTGTTTCTTGTGTGTACTACCGCTGTATCGGTCTTCCCGTGGCTGCTGCTGCTGCTGCTGCTGCTGTATCTTGTTCTTCGCGCCTGGCTGTCTTAACTGACGCGTGCACTACACCACGTGTGTAAAGATAAAATAAGACCGTAAGAGAGCTTGTCTGTCGCCTTTTTTGGAGTTTTTTGAGTACGTGAGAGCCTATGCGTACGATAGCTCGACGCTCCTCCCCCTCGCCATCGTCTTCGGTTCGCATGCAGACAGTACAGACACGAAGCGCTACGTTATCATGTGCGTGTACGTTTGACCAACACGCATTTTTGAGAGAGCACATGTCGCGCTGCCGTCTGCTGCACCACTACTATCCGTAGTAGTGATTGAGTCACGTACGTACGGCGATATCATGCAACAGAGAGTCAGTCGTGTCCACGAAGCACAACGCATATGCCCCGTCAAGTCGTACGCACGAATGGCAGGGAACAGACCCAAGGTCGTCTATAACTCGGTCACTTTTTTTTATCTCGTACAGCAGTGTCGGCCGAAACGTACGTAGATAAGACTACGAAGATCATGTAGACATGGAAGGACAACCAATCATGTGGCGAACCGCGCCGCTTTATGTGGGTCCCCTCCCGCGAAAAATTATTATGGCCGTGGGTGCCATGCTACGGTGCGCGTACATAGCAGTGTCACGAAACGGACCTAATACCCTACAGGCCTGCCCGAAACGAGCAGAGCCCCAAGACGTGGTACGTGCTACAGGACATACACTCGTCGGTCGAAGAAACAAGGCATGAGCTCTTGCCACTCGCCCGGTTGGTCCAGATTTGTTTATTATTAAAAGCCGATTTGGTGACGAACGAGGGGCAAGACAGACCAGTCTCCTTGGCTCCATTTCAACACTGGGGACAACAGCAGCCTGTCTGTTCGTGTCGCGGGGCACACTCAAATTTGTTGGGGTAGCATATAGCATACACACGACGATAATCACAATCAATCTCGTTAGATTGGCCAGCAAGGGGGGGGGGGGATGAGGGGAATCTTGAAAAAACATGGGTTCACTAAAAAACACCTGTCGGGACGGACGCACCCGGCGAGGGGCAAACCATCAAGTATTGCCTTACACTACAACGCAGCAGACTCACCCTCAGCACACGAAAACACCAGCCTTATCTTTCCTTTACACCCACGGGCAGGACCATCAAAACGCATCAAAACGCATCGTATACGCATACATACCAGGTACAATAATCTGCCCAGTGCACCTACCTTCATCTGATGCAACTAAATTCCGAAACAAGACTCATGGGGGTAAGTAAGTAAGGTACAAAAAAATGCCCCCAAGGGAAGGGAATAGAATAGTAGGCTGAGTCCGTTGATTTGAATGCGACCCTCAACGGGGCCGTGGCTGGGAAAATACAAAAATTCAGGCACTGACCGCTACTTTGGCCGGGTAGGAGAGAGGGGGGCAGCACGACGGCAACTAAACACGGCAACCCTACAATATTATCCCCTCGAAACACGTCCGATAGCAGCGACCAAGGTACGTGTTTTCGTCCTACATTTCGCGGCGACAAGACAAACTACACTAACGGGCAACAACCAGCCCTGGGGAGAACGAGAATGATCGATCGCCATGCACGTGGCGCGCGTGTTTCATCCACCACCCACACCCGCCACCCCGTCACTCGCGTGTCACGCCGTGGAATAGGGGAGCGACCTCCTCCATGGCAGCCTCACCCTCACCTACCCCCTCCCGCCGTGGTCGGCGATATCATCAGCCACCACCCACGTAGTGGTGCTGCTTGAGAGACTGCCAAGACACACGCAACGAACTAGCACAGCAGCAGCAGCAGCAGCAGCAGCACGGCCACAACACACACGCGCGCGCGCTCACCAAAGACTCACGTGCTTGCTCCGTTCAGCCGGTTGTTGTTGTTGTGATAGCGGTCGACTCGACCCAAACACACACAGTGATACAGCACAACAATCATAACAACAACAACAACAACCAGCAGCGAGGCTTTACCGCTACAGAAATTCGAGATACTGTTGACTATTGGGAAATAGAGAGGGGGGACGTAGAGGGTGCTACAAACGTTTCACGACGACGGGCGACCAATCCCCAACCCCACCTGTCGGCCTGTGCATCGGCAAACCGGGCAATACCCGACCCCCGTCACTAAATTCTAAAACACGCAAGACAACGACGAAAAACACAGCAGACGAAAACCAACAGAAAAAAACATCTCTATCTATGACTGCCACCTTCCGCGCAAACCTCTAAACCTAACCCCCCCCCTCTCCTGACTATTTGAACCCCCGGTGTATCTGCACAAGGGGGTACACATGACAAAATCCTCGACCCCACACCTCCCCCTCGCCCCCCCCGCCCATATGTCTCGCGCTCTTGTCCAGTTTGAGAGGCCCCATCGGCGACAAAAATGCGGTGTCCCCCCTCTATAGTCTTGGGGCACAAAGGTACCTTCTGCGTGACCCCCTGATCAAAGTACATAGGATATAGTATACCCCGGGCTCCGTGGTCCTGGGTGTTCTCAGGCGCGCCCCCCGCAGCCGCTTTGACCCAGACGCCGGGCAACATCCTAGGTCGCGCCTTCCCAAGTATCACTAAACCAGCACACACACACACACACACACACACACACACACACACGTCCCTGGAAGCGACCAAAACGAGCCCCCACAGCCCGCATGACTTTGCGAAACACCGCCTCCAGCTACGGCGGCCTACATGTCGAAACACCCCTCCTGTCGTTTTCATTCGTCGCATGAGACACAGCCCCGACAGCAGCACAGCACGTGGCGCGGGAGCATCCCCGTCAATGCCGCACCGCAACAACCCCCGCCCCCCCGCTCCACTCGCGCAGCAAGGATAGACACCACGTTGAGTAGAGTACCAGAGAAAGACGCCAAAAGCTCTCTCCCCCTCGACCTCGACTCTCTTCGGAAGTTTGAATCGCCACACGAGCATAACCCCCCGCCCCCCCCCCCCGTGTTTTTGGTCGACCCGTAAACTACCGATTTAGTTACCCTCCCCCCCCGCCCCGCAATTTAAGGGG